CATGTTATCATTTGTGACTTATGCAGAAACAAAGTTGAGAGTGCCTGCCTGGGAGGGAAGTCGGTTGCATCATGTCTGGTAGCTGGAGTCCGCTGCGTTTGAATTAAAGGGGGGATATTACTTATTGTCGTATGTACTTAAAAAGGATTTGATCAGTGGCTGTTCTAAGTGGTTTTTGTGTTTCTTTCAGATGTCGCCCATTTAATGTGGTTTGAAAGACTCTATGTTTGGCTTCAGTGTTTTGAAAAATATATCTTGTACCCAGCAGTAATTTTGAATGCCCTCACTATTGATGCATTTGCAATAAGCAATTACCGGAGACTTGGTACCCAGTAAGTGGATAATGGTTTATTCTCATCATGATTTGGGTCACAACGTTTTCAAAGTCTAGTGAATTTTCTCTAAACGGGCTGCAGCAGAAGCCAACTTCTGTCTGCTAATTACTGGCCATGTTAAAAGGAAGCCACGGTGGTCTTCTATTCAAACGGACTAGAGCTTAATGGTGATTGCAGAGTGACTGGGGTGCAAATGAAGTTAGATCTGCTTGAAGTGATACTGTGAATAAGTGTCAGCAGATTTGAAAATCAGGAGCCTGAATGAGATGAAGGAAACACAGTGTGATTCTGGGGTTCCTGGAGTTCCTCCCATCGTGTTTACAGCTTTATGAACTGCCTCATGTCATTTCATTTAGCAAATACTCTATCATTTTGTGCTTGAGGGAGGGGGAAATTAATCACTGTCACTGCTCTCTCTGTATTTATCAAGAGAAGCCTCATAATTAAAAAAAAATGAAACATCGAGGGAAGGGGAGGATATAGCTCAAGTAGTAGAGCACATGCTTAGCATGCAAGAGGTCCTGGGTTCAATCCCCAGTCCCTCCATCAAAAAAAAAGAAACAGCAAGATGCCCGTGTTTTTACAAAGTGTTAACCATGTACAGCTAAGTTACTGGTGTCCTATTTGAAAATTAACTTTGAGTTTACAAATGGAAATCTACACAGTAATTTGTAGATTTGCTGTTCTGACCCAAGGTTGACATTTCTGGTCAAAGAGATTATTAGAATAGGAGGATGTGAAAGATCCTTCTCAGATTTGCTTATTAGTCACGTTGTTTAAACATTACATGCCCAGGTCAACCCTGATGCATAATCCCACACACGCCTACTCTTCCTTTCAGGGTGTGAGGACAAATTAATTAATCTTTGCCAAAGATTGAGCAGACTAAGATAAAAGAGCCATGACTACTCTGTTGGACTTAGAATAGATGTGTAGTCACATGAAGCAAGACACTAAATGAAATGATCCTGTAACCTTCCTGTCTTCATCAGGCTCTGCCTTCCTTCCAGATCAGACCTGTTTCAATTGTACCAGGCCAAGAAGAGTTCCCTTTGGTATTTCAAATCCTAGACCTCAGATCCAGGGATGAAAGTCAGTTTCACTTGGTGAAGAAGGCAGATGATGAGACCACAGACCTCTTGCATGGTTTGGGTGGGGCCCCAACCAGGGGACAACCCTACATCTAGGACTTCCAGTGCTTTGGTAGTGGCAGGTGTTTCTGGTATGATACAATCTGGGCTGACCCATGATGACCTTCTAGAACAAGGAAGTTCCTCAGCTCCAGAGCAAGGGTTCACAGTCAGAACCAAAACAGCCACACATGTACCAGTGCTGCCCTGGGGTCATGACCTAAAGGATCGAAAGTTCTCCCTTCCCAAACATCAGGACAAGGACCTCGAGCCAAGCCTGCCAGTGGAAGCCAAGCAGTTCTGGCTGTTGGCAGAGGATGGACGCAAGGCTGGAAAATCACACAGAGTCAAACAAACAATTCAGAGAGAGTCCCATTTGGAGCAATATTAATCTCTATCCCCTGTAATTTGTTTTTCCAGACACTAAAGTTATAAAGTACCATCTTACCTATGTACCTCCAAATACTCTTCACTCTCAGGTGATACCAACGGAGTTCTTTTTCTCAGAGCCCAAAGCTGATATTTCTTTTAGATTCTATTTCTCTAGATCCATCTGAAGACAGGAAAAAAAAAACCAACTCTCAAGATTTCCAGCATCCCACTAGACCAGTTAAACAAGACAGCAGGAGACCCTATATCAGTATTATCTAGAAACCTGCTTCAAACTGTGTAAGTCCAACCCACACCCTGCCCTCCTTGAGAATCACCATAGTCAGAGAGTGAACCCTTCAATAGCAGGCACTGTTTCTTATTCAGCTTTCCATACCAACCCTCCAGTAAATGGCAGAAGGATGGATGGATGGATGATTGAGTAGGGGGCCTGATAAATGATGAGTGAGTTAGACATGATATCTTGTTAGGTATTTATATTTTCAGCCTGCTCTGAATGGACACTTTGCATCTGTCCCGGGGTCATTGTTCACTGATTGTTGCCTGAGGCTTTCTCAAACCTTTAGCTAAGCCTGCGACACTCTACAAACCACTGATTGTAACCATGACCATGGCAATGTTAAAAAGCCACAAACATCATTCTTTCAGCTCTCCCGTAGTCTTCACCAGTCATCATTAATAAACATAAAATGAAGGTGGTCCATTTTAATCATAGACACAGAAATCAAAGTTCAGAGTTGACTCTCATCTAAATTTAGCCCGAATAACCCAGAAAAATCACTGATCTCCTTTGAAAACCAGAATATTCCTAGTCTTGAGTTGTCCTATCATTGGGACCCCCTCCCCATCCCCCCATGCCCTCCAAGGGCTATGCCACAGGGATGCTTGTATCCTGGACTGTTGTCAAAGTCAAGTGGACCTGAAGTCATGTTCTCATACTGTATTTTCATCATGGGCCTCTGTTGTCCACTAGAAAAGGAAGGCGGGTTGTGGAGCAGAGCTCAGCCTCGCTGCAGGAATGGAGGTTACTAAACATATTCCCACTCTCCCCAAATCTTCATGTAATCAGGGCTGGTTTTCCTTCAAAGCCAAATCTAAGCTCATTGCACAGGGCTTCAGGCAAACATCTCCAGACCCATCCTGGGAAAAGGTGGAATCAGTTGCAACACTAGGTCTGAAGGCATATGAAGTATCAGATGGAGGCCAGTGGAAAGAGGTGAAATTAGATCTTTCTGATGACAAAAATGACAGTTTTGCACTTGACAGATGCCAAGACTCTGAAAATAGTTTTTAAATGCCCTGATCCTGAGACAGGATGTTATTCATGCTGATAAGGGTCTGGAGCTGAGGGTCCCTCTAGGGTTAGGGAAATTGAGGCGCACCCCCCTCCCTCCTCATTTTCTGTACTTAGAAAAAGAAAAGCTCTCTTTCAAGAGCAGTTGGTCTCTGGAAAGCACTGCCACGTCTGTCTTTCTTTCGAGTTCTCAAATAGGATGTTAGCGTTGGAGGGGAGTCTGGTTAAAATGTGCAAGGCCTTCTATGAGAAGGACAGACCCCCGTCCAGGAGGTAGGGGCTTGCTCTGTCCGGCTGTTCCGAGCAGTTATCAGTTGCCTTCCCGTCTCAAGGTAGGGAGGTGGTTGACCCCACCGTCTGCTGGAATCGTCCACGTGGCACGTGCTCCCAGCACAGGTTAATAACCTTACTCCCTAGACAAAAGCATTCGGAGTTCAGTCCTCACAGCAAAGTCCTGCTGTTTCTTTATGGGACTGCCTTTCTTGTGCTCCTTAACTGAAAAAGAGAGAAGGGGGGGTGTTGATGATGTAATTTTCAGTGGAGAGAAAAGAGAGATCAGAAAGCTTCTGTCTGACAACATGACAAAGATGTGGAAAAACATTGGAAGTTAATATGTAAATGCAAAAAGGGCTTGATGGAGAATATGGGGTATTGTTATGTCATTGACTCAGTGGGATTACTTTATAGTAGAAAGGCTTACACTGAGGAGTTGCTAATGAGGACAGCCTGCCCTCGTCTTCTCTGCGGACCCTCGCGCTGCAGTGGTCCTTAGATGCGCTCGCAGGGAGCTCTGTGTCCTCAGTTACAAAGGTCTAGGGATGATGCAGAGTGTATAGTGCAGGAAGTTACCTCAAGTGGCAGAGTCTGCAGGCTTGGGACTGAGTTTCAATCCCAGCTCCACCCCGTGAGACTGTAGATGAATGACTCAAACCCCGTGACTCATTACTCTTCTGTAAAATGAGGGTAATAACAGAACCCCACCGTCTTGGCTTTTTGTGCCTGTAAAGTTGCATCACCCACAGTAAATGCTCTGACACACTTGCCGCTGTGACTCACCTTAGCCGCGTGCGGGCCACTACTGATGCTTCTTTTCTGTCCTTTTCAACAGCTGGAACATTTTCCTGATGGTCATCGCCGGCATGAAACTGCTGAGGACGTCTTTCTGTAACCCAGTCCACCAGTTTACTCACTTGGGCTTCACTGTGATCTTTTTTCATTTCGACTACAAAGATATTTCTGAGAGTTTCTTACTGGATTTCTTCATGGTGTCCATCTTACTGAGCAAGGCAAGTTAATTCACTGTTTTCTTCATTCTAAAATGGGAAAGGTGCATTTTTCATCAAATGTTTTAAAAGTTTTAAACATTTTCTTAAAAAAAAACCCTATAGCATGAAAGTAAATTGAATTACATATGCATGTCACATTCCTGCTGCCATTTTAGGAGCTTTCCCCATGGAATAGACATATGCCGTGTTATTTGCCAAAAATCATGAATTAAAATGAATTAGCAATTAGTGTTGCTTGAAATTTTAGGGTCTTTGTTAAAAATCTCAATATAGAACTTCCTAAATCTCACAATGCTCTGAATTAAAGATTAGCAACCGGATTAATTTGCTTTTTCTTTTCTTCTTTTTTTATTTTTATTTTTTTGACTTCGCATTTTACCTCTTGAGGTAAAGCTTGGGACCTAGTACCTGAAAGCTGGGTCCCTTAGAGTCTTTTAGAGTATTTTCTTTTCTTTAGCTTGTCCCATGTCAAGATTTCCTCTGTTGCAAATTTACACATGGGCAGTGAGAAATCCCAATCACAGTTCAGGCAAATATGTGGGACTGGTATCTAATGTTTAATGTGAGGGAGATAAGGTCCTCTGGGTACTTGCCTGGGTGTGTAAACCAAAAAAGGAATTTGGGGTGGGGGGAGGGTAGAGCTCAGTGGTAGAGCGTGTGCTTAGCATGCATGAGGTCCTGGGTTCAGTCCCCAGTACCTCCCTTAAATACATACATACATACATATATACACCTAATCACACCTCCTCCCCCAAAATTTAAAAATTGAAAAAAAAAGAATTTGGGAAACTCCTTTATCACATGCTCCTTGTAATACAGCAGCCATAGCTTTTCTGCCCTGAGATTGATTTAACCAACATTTCCCCCTTTTGGTTAATAATTCCTAAATTCTAAGGGGTTTTTTTCCCCCTTAACTTCATTTTTGTGCCCCTTTTTGAACCAGTTCTCTTAATTTCTCTATTACCTGTCTTTTCCTTCACCTGGCTTTCTTTTTACTTGTTTTAAATGACAAAAATTCAAATATTACAATGGTCATATGACTTCGGCAGCCTGCCCCAATTTCTGTATCTTATTTTTGAGCCCTGGCCTTTGTCCTTAACCACAGACATTTGTTTTCTGTTTGTCTGAGTTCTGTTTGGTCTTGATAAGTTTATCCTGTTTTTCTGATGATTCAAATCACAGGCTTCCCTGTTCTGTCTTCCCTCATTATGTTTAAATGTTCATTCTTTCACATAATAAGTGTAAAATTGTATACTACGATCTTGAAAGCATTTATAAAGTTACAAATAATTTCATCCTCACAGGGGTAAGAGCTTATTATCTGCTGCAGAATGGGCTGGAATGAGTTGAATCCCTAACTCTGGCATTATTTATATTTTGGCATGCTAATATTTCTAGTCCTTTCTGAACCTTAGTTTCTTTTAAAATTGAAAACCATGATGCCAGTCTCAGCTGGGTGTTGAGAGGCCTGATTCGTATAAGAACAGAAGTTTTTCAGTAGGATGTGCTTTCCAAATATGAGGCAGGACTTTTAAGTAGAAAAAGAGAAGTTATACCCTGCTTAGTTATCCGCACTGAACTGTCCATTTCGGTACCATCTTGTATCAGCAAGAGGTCCCCCCTCCAGTGAACAAAAGGAGAAAGGGCCTCGCTCTCCAAGTCCTCTACGTGATTCCACATCTGCTGGAGGAGCAGGGATTTTAATTTGCTGGGGCGCAGACGGCCGCTGCTGAGAGCACGTGACTGGGGGCAGGTGTCCAGACTGGGAGTCTTGTTGGAGACAGAGGAAGGGCTTCCACTTAGCTGTTGTTCATCCTTCCCCTCCGCGGGGGCACTTAGTGCCACCTCGTGTGTGATGCAGAGGGTGGGACCTGCCAGCACACAGTCTGAAACTAAATCTGTAAAATCTGAGCGCTCCAGGCATTGGAGTTTCACCTGTCGTTATCTTTGTGAAGCATCAATGAAAGCACTAATCATTTCAGACAGATTTTTCGCTAACTGAGGGAGCATTAGCACGTGTAATTTGAATAGTCCACTTTTAGGCTGGGGATAATAGCTGAGTCTAAAAGCAAAAGTTAAAAAAAAAAGTGAGACAAAAGCTAGAAAAATGAGCACCGTGTCTTGTGACTCAGTCTTGACACATCCCTCACCCTGTCTGCTGTCTGCTCACTCTTGAGAGAGCTGATAAGGTGCATTTTTTTGGAATGAGAAACAAGATCTGATTTCCTGACAAAAACTACGGTTAAACAAAGAGACAGCATTTGAGAGCTTCCTGGAAATAAGCCAGTAGAAATTAGTGACAGAAAACAGGGGTGGCAGTGAGGAAGCCCACAATTAATGTTTCCTGGAAAGATCCTGCTTGCAAATCCCAGCTGAGTCTTCCTGTTCATTCTCCTCCTTGAAGGCATTTTTGAAAAAATTATCTCTCTTAATCTATTTCCTAGAGGCATTCTAGAAACCTCCAATATTGCTTTTGCAGGGGATACTTCTTTGGGGGGTATTCCTTGCACTGTGTGAAATTTTGTTTGTTCATTAGACCCATCTGAGTCCTGCTCACAACATGTGCTCTCATCCACCATTGCAAAAAAACCTCCAAGCTCTTTCCCCAGCTCTGCTCCTGTTCTGCTAAAAAGCAGAGTCCTTGTTACCCTAATGGCGCACCTTAAAGAAAGACTGCAATATTAATAAGGAGACGAGGGAAGGGCCTCCAGTTTCCTTGGGAAAAAGGAGCTGCATGAATCCAGGACCCATTTTTATTGTAAATCAGTGGCCCCTCATCCTTCAGTCTTTATGGGTAGAAAAAGAGATGAGATGTGATTATAGAGAGATTCTCTGCAGAGAGAGATCAAAGCACTGGGAGGGCAAAGATTGGACTAGATGACTTCCAGAGGCTTGCCTGCATGTTATTCGCTCCCTCCTGAATCCCCAGATCCCTCCTGGGGTCTGGAAGATGAATGTCAGCCAATGTCTTTGGTCTGCCAGACCTAGTGAGAAATGGGAAGTCAGGAGTTCCAGGGCCAGAGCCCAACGGGGAGGATTTAGTACAGCCCATGCACTGCCATGGAGGACGGGACTTCGCAGGGGATGGCGTCCTGAGCTCGGCGGGGATGGGGGTTGGGGAGTCAGGGGGAGAGAAGGGCCCCCACGTACCCACTCCTGACATCCAACCACACACCCAACGCAATGCAGCACCTCTGAGAAGTCAGGCCCATCTGTCCTCTCTCCCTGGGCCTCTCAATCCATCTCCTCTCTCTTCTGCTCCATCAGTCATTCTCCTCTTTTGAGAACCGAGTAATGTCATGCATTCGTACCATTTCTGGTATGCCTAGGTCTTTGGTGGACAGTGAGACCTGCTCTGGGTAAAGATATTTTGTTGTGAGGAATATTTGGTTGTGACAGGAACAAAGGTGACAAAAAGGTTGGATCTGTCCCACTGGTCCTGAAAAAGTTCTTAGAAACCATCTCGTCTTGAAATGTTTGGTAATTTTGCCTTGAAGAAGTGGGACTTGAAAATAAAAAGCCCGCCAGGGTATAATTCTGCCTGCATTTCCAGAAGCTGTGACACGTGAAAATTCTACAGGCTAGCGAGTTCGACATGGGGGCCGGCACTGTTACCATTCATGAAATTAAAACTAACAGGTGAGGCTGCTTTTATATAAAGCTGGGTGGATCATGGCACCAGAGCCCTGATGAGCAGCTATGTTGTGGGTGACTTCAGTCAGCTTTCACATTATTTGAAATCAGTTTCTAAATAGCATTTTCCTTTGTTTTCTGGATCCAAGTCTTGCATTGAAATTGAGCTACTTTATGGAGGAAGGATGAATGCTTTTACAGAAACATTTGTTCAAAACACTTTGTTCAAAAAAAAGTACTTGCTCATTTACTGAGGATCCCTTACGGGCCAGGCATTGTGTGCTAGGCACAAAGATTACTATATTATTTGTAATAATATGAAAGCTAATAAGCCCTTATTTGGTGCTTTTCATAAGCACTATTTTCAGTACTTTGTGTAGATCGAACTGCTTCATCTTCATAACCACTTTGGGGCTGGGTACACTTCGTTGTACAGATGAGGAAACGGAGGCATGGAAATTAAGTGAATTGCCCAAGGGTCTTGCAGCTATAAAATGATAGAGCAGGAGTCTGCTCTGAGGTTATCCTTTGTGACTCCTCTGTTTGGGGAGTCTGGAAAGAAGGCACATAGGTCAAGAGATAATCGCAAAAAAGTACATAAAGGGAGGTGGTCGGGGCAGAGAATTTCAAGAGTGTGCATAAAAATGGTACCCAGTCCCACTGGGAGAATCAGAAGCAATGATGCTTACCTTGAACTTTGAAGAATGAGGGAGTGGGTCAGGGAAGAAAGACAGGGGAAAATGAGCTGCACAGAGGAAACTGCTGGTGCAAAGTCACAGAAGCAAGAGAGGGTTTGCCCAGGAACTGCGGGATATTTGGTAAGTGCGGAGACATGGGGAGGAGAGTGGTGAGAGATGGAACTGGGGGCATTGTCACGAGGCAGATCAGGAAGGGCCAAGCATGATGTGCTCCAGAGTTTGGAGAGCCATTAGGACACTGGAGAAAGTGGGCTTCAGGAGGAAGAGACTGGCTTGCGTGCTCCTGTGACTAGGTGGTATCATTAATTAGGTCAGGAAAAAAAAAAGAGAAAGACATTTTGGGGAGAAAGAATGCTGTTTTTGTTTGTTTGTTTATGTTTTTGGAGGGAGCTAATTAGGTTTATTTATTTACTTATTTTAATGGAGGGATTGGGGATTAAACTAAGGACCTTATGCATGCTAAGCTTGTGCTCTACTACTGAGCTGTACCCTCCCTGGAATGTTGGTTTTAGATGTGGCAAATTGTGGAAAGAGAAGTGACAGGGACCGAAAGGAAAAACCTAGGGGTAGGAAGTTTTCCCATTTAAATATTTCCAATAAATTAGAATAAAATTAGAAAAACAATAGAAAAATGCAGAGAAAGTCCATCTTTTCACACATCCGTTACTC